TTCTAAAGATGTTTGGATTATTGAAAAGTATACAGCTCCCTTTCATATGAGTGTTGAGAGCTGTATCCATAAATTCATGTTGTGCTCAAAGATTGATGCATTTAACTTCAACTTAAAAAAAAAAATATCTTCCCAGGGGTGCATGCCCCCAAATAAAGCAGGTTAAAATAATTAAATTGCATACATTTTCTTTTAGTAAACACTGAAAACGGGTCCCACAGACCCAAACAGCACACAAAGGTTAAAGGTAAGCATATAATAATGTTCAAATGTGCTAAATATATACACTGCAAAAACTAAAAAAGAAGAGTAAAAGTAGCTCACGACTTGTTTTATTTTTTGAAAGTAGCTCTCATCCTAAAAAAGGTTGGAGACCCCTGTTCTATAAGAATAAAACACGGAGGACGGAGATCTCTTTTTCTCCCCCTCTTCTCCCCGCTGCAGCCTAGCAGCTGATCTCAGAGCATGCTCCCCTCTCCTGCAGGGGGGCGTGGTCAGCTGCAGCTCACAAAATCAGCCCCCTGCAAAAATAGGGCTGGAAAGAGCAAATATAGCGAAATGAGGCATGGCTAAAATGCAGGATCTGTTTGGTATTTTGAAAAAAGAACTATATTTATATAATTTATATAGGTATGGCCCTACAATATATGTTTTGAATATAGCATGATAGGTCCACTTTAAGTTGTGTCAAAATCACATTAGTTTTCTGTTTCTCATTCTGAAAAAACTCCATGAAATATTTGTTTTAATATTCAAAGTGTCTTGTGTCTATAATGGCCAGCTCCCTGCATATTTCCTTTACATCATTATTCAAAATATACTTTTCCCCAATGTACATGCAAGGATATTTCAATGAGTTTTAAGCGACGTATTTGAACAAAAATAGGTAAGCTAGAGCAATCAAAATGCCATTAAAGTTCTTTAAAAATTGGACACATTTGATTAAACATTATCTTTGCTACAGTTTGACTATCTTCACAGTATTACAATGTTTAACTGGTTAAAGCTGTTCTATTATTTGGCGTGGGACACAGTGTGTTTGTTAACAATGAGCATGTAACACATACTAACCTTTGTCTAATATGCTATTGGACTAATGGTGATGATGATAGGGATGAGGATGATTGCAGTGACCTCAACGCACAAGTGTGAAAACATCATAGCTTTGTAATGTGAATCCAACCCCAAAGTTTCCCGCCTGCAGCCTCGGATGAAGAGCACTTCCAGTGTGGTGTCATAACAGCATGCATGAATTATTTACATACTGCATGCAGTGTTTATTTTCCTGCTTTTTGTTCTTGTCAACACTCACTTGCAGCTCAGTTTCCAACCATGTTAAAGTGTGTACAATGTTTTTGAGCAAAAGAAGAAGAGAAGTAGAATAAGTCTTCTCAGTGTTAGGTCATGCTGTCAGATCAAATTTTGAATAACCGTACCCAAAGCAATTATTGTAACCATTTCCACACATAATATATAATTTTGCCTTGTGAAAATGTGGTTGAGGCTACAAAAGCTGAACTGCCGACAGATAGTTACTCAGTTTCCGGATCAAAACACAGCTCAGCCACTTATTTTGTCCTGAAAGCCATTACAGCAGGGCCCCTCGAAAATTAACATAACACAGGCCCCACACAGGCACACTTTATCCCGCTGAGCTGCACCTGGTTTATCTCAACACAACTAAAATGTATTTCTCATTTCATGTCCAACAACACATGTCAATATCCACTTGGAGCCTGCTTTACAATATACTTTTGTCTTTATAGGAAACAACTTGTTTGGGTTTAAATAACTATGACAGTGATACATTTTGTTTGGTAACTTCATCAAAAATTAATTTGTTTTAGGAGTCATGACTGACAAAAAACTGTTCTAATGGCATTTGCAAGATTCAACACAAGTATATCAAGAAATATAAAAATCTCCAATCCCCATGGAAGTGTGTACAATAGAAAAACAATGAGTGATTGACTGTTTTGGTCCAGGTTAATTACATGTAATGTTATCTGAAGACTTAACTTAAGAAAATCACTAATTTATGTTTTGCAGGATAAACTAATGGAATATTCCAGATGTCTCACCTTGCAGCAGGGACGTTGCCGTTGTCACAGTCTCCGGTATGCCATCCTTGCTGTAGATGGACTGGAGGAACTCTGGAATGCAGTCGTTTTCATCAATTATGACAACTCGTACCTGACAGAGGAAGGAGAAGGGGAAAGGAAAAGATTTAAAGAAGGAGGAAGTTGACATAAGTAAATGACATAAACCTACATAACACACGCTTTTCACTTATATACTGTAAAAGACACAAATGTCACATGTAGTCAGTGGAGAGGTTATGTTTTTGTTTGGGCAGGATCGTAGAAAAACGCGCAATTTGCTCTGGATTGGCCAATCAGATCTGTACTACCCCCCTGAAAGTAGGAACAAGGTACTCCTCAACAAAAACACGCTTGTTTGATATCCTGGCTCCAAAATGGTGGAACAAGCTCCCCATTGATATCAGGACAGCAGAAAGTGTTCCCATCTTTTGTCGCAGAATGCAAACCCACCTCTTTGTAACAACAACAAAAAAAAGGAGTACTTGAAAGATGCACCAGCACTTCCAATGGTTTGGTTATTTAAAGCAAAGGTTCTTCACGGTTAAATTACTGTAGATTGCTTTGGATGAAAGCGTCAACTATACAAATTCAACTAAAAACGATTGGCCCAATTTCTGTGAACATTTGTGGAAAGTTGAAGCATGTGCAAAAGAAAATGTATTCCATTTTTGAGAGGATCTGATCCACTGAGTGGTTCACTATTGTGTTTAGCTAACGTTACCTTACAAGAACATTTATGTGGGGTCAGAATAATCAGGAAAAGTTACTCTGCCCTCTAAAGTTGGAACAATCATTCCGAAACTGTTTTCAGCGTGTGCAAAAAAATACTACACATTCTTCTTTTTGAGGTACTGTTTGTTTAAAAATTAATACTTAAAGCTCCAGAAGTAGAACACACTGAAGTCCGAACAATGACTACCCTGCTGGATAAATTGGACTATCCTAGGAGCACTGAAATGCACCATTGGGCTTAACTGTTTAAGTTGAACAAATTATTTCTTAGTTTCAATAACCTAATAATTATAACTATAATACTATAATTCTACTATAAACCAGACATTTCATTGGCAATCAATGGGAATCACCTCACTTAACGGAAACAAAACATTTGTAATTCATAAAAGCAAAATGAACAGACTTGGTGTATCTGATCTCATGCAGAAATGCTGGTACTGTATGTTAAAACGGCCCAGGCAATCACGTAGGAATGCTGGGGATTAAAAGTCACACAGGCTCGGTGTTATGAACATTTTAAATCTAGGATTAGCACTTCAGGCACTGTCCGGAATTGGTTTTCTTTGGCTCTGGAGTCCTTTTCATCTGCGAGTAACCCAAATTAACCCTATCCTTAACCAAAAAGGAGCCCCGTCCAACCTCGTGCATAGGCGAGCCCTGACCCTGATCCCTCTGGTTTATTCCCCCCCCCACTCCTCCTTCCCCCTTTAGTGAGGGAGCTTCTGCAGAGTCGGCCCTTCAGTAGGTCAGCGCAGAATGCAATCTTGTGCAATTTTACAGAAGCCCTGAGCTAACAAATGAGACTGTGCAAAAGATGAATTTGTATGGCGTGTGCACGTAGGCGTGTGCGTGAGTCACTGTAATGCTGCCCGGTTCATTAAGGGCACAAAGGCAAACACAGCAGCCTTTACCAGATGTTGACTGCCCGCTTGCAGCATTAAGAAGGAATAAATAAATAAATAGCTGGTAAGAGAGCCGCTCTGACTTTTTTCTCTTACATATAAACACAGCAGTATGGATAAACAGCCTACGGATCACACACACACACACACACACACACACACACACACACACACACACACACACACACACACACACACACACACACACACACACACACACACACACACACACACACAGGT